TTATTGGCTGTCATCCAAGTCGATATTTTGATCAGCTCCTCATTCACAGTGGTTTTGAGGGTGGCAAGATTAGGGTGAGAGATGACGTAAGTCGTGTCGTCAGCAAAGAGAATGGGTTTCAGGTGTTGGGATACGTTTGGAAGGTCATTGATGTATATGAGGAAGAGCAGGGGACCAAGGACACTTCCCTGCGGAACTCCAGTATCAAGTGGCCGTGTTGCTGATGCTGTGTCTTTAATGGTGACATACTGATACCTATTAGTAATGTAAGATTTGAAATAAGCAAGCGCATGGCCTCTTATACCGTAATGATCAAGTTTGTGGAGTAGGATGTCGTGGTCTACTGTGTCAATAAAAATTCCTAGTGGATATTCCTTATTTTCCAATGCTGTGTAAAGCAGATCTAGCATTTTTATGATTGCATCATTAGTGCTTTTTATATTTCCTGAATCCAAATTGGCAGGGGTTTTGAGTATGTTTGAGCCGTTCTATAAATGCATACGTCTCCTGTGCACGAGTGTATCAAAGATTTTAGGCTAGAATGGTAAGTTAGATATTGGCTTATAGTTGATTACGTCTGTGGGTCACCACTTATGTATTGGTGTAACCCTTGCCATCTTGAATAGTTTCGGGAAGAGGTTCTAGTCTCTAGTGACTTGTTTAACGAGTAATGAATAGCATGCGAAAGGACATGGGCGCTTCGCTTGTACAGTAAATGGTGGGACATGAGACGATTCCGAGTTATTTTTAAGTGACTTTAAACTCTCCGGTGACTTCTGTGGGCTCAGTTGGTGATGATAGAAGGAATTAGGGAAATTCCCTCTAGGTTGTCCCCGGATGGGCATGGTTATGTGGGATTTTACTGGTGAGATTAGATCCTTTGGATTGAGAAGAAGTTGTTTTCTTGTTGCTGATGTCAAGTGGGATGTCGTGGTGTATCATTCGTTGAGTTAGGACAATATTCTTGGTTTTTCTCAGTTTGTGGGTCCTAGAATCTGAGAGGTGTTTTCCAGGTCATTTTTATATCTCCTCTCAGTGTCTGTGAAGCTACTTGGTGTAGTATTAGGGGTTTGGCTTTCTTTTTTACTTTGTATGTGAGAGCTGAGGACTGTGTTTTGGAAAATATTTGTGTATTAAGCCTTGTTATATTGCTTTTCATATTGGTGTTTCTTTTCACTGGATTTCAGAATGGTGCTGGTTAGCTTGGGCACAAAGCCGTTTGTTGTCAATCTGTTTGTTTTTATAGGACAAAGTTTGTTGTCTAGATTAAGTATGTGTTAAGAAAAATGTCTGTCAGTTCATCAATAATTGGCCTTGGCGAATTCTGTAGGCCAGTCAAACCGTTCTAGGTCCAGTGTGAACTTTCCTTCCTGAGGCCTCGTCATGGACTGGAGTCAATGAGACTTTGTGTATTACAATGTGGTGGGTTACTAATGGTTTGTCAGGAAGGGAAGGTCAGGGTAGTGGTCTGTAGTGCTATCTGTGCTGATCCAGATTTAAGGGGGATAGTATTTTGGTCCATTATGAGGGTTATGATGGTTTGCATTGTCTCAGTGAGCCTGGTTGGTTTAGTTATTGTTGGTATGAGAAGTGGTTGTTCTATTGTTGAATGAACTCAGTTAAAGGCTGATATCTAGTAAGCCAAGGTTGATGTTGAAGTCTCCAGCTAAGAGAAGGTGGTGGCTTATTATTTGTCTGTTTGATCATAGTGACTTTAATTTCTCACTGAAATTTGGGTTGTTTGTTGTGAGGTTATATGGTAAATGGCACCGATTGATTATCGGCCGTCTTACGGGTTTTTACAGTAAAATTAGCAATAAATGTTATTCCATATCTCACTCAGCAAGTGGTGTAATACATGATAATGTGGTAGAGTAATAGATTGCAATACCACCACTTGGTTGGGTCTGCAGTTGAGAATTTGCTGTGTATCCTGGTAGGGGTTAGCTATTATCGTGTCTGATTAGCCAGGTTCTCAGTAGATAATGCAGGAGAAGGTGTCCTTTAGTGATGAAGGAGTGCTATGATGTCATCATAGTGTTTGCTTAAGGACCTGATGTTGTAGTTAAAGTACTGCTAGTTTTTAGCATTGTATAGCGAATAGTGCTGGCTTGTGATGCTGTGTAATAAAGGCAGTTACTTTCAATAGGTTTTGATTGGGTGTCAGATTATGGAGGTTTAGTATCAGGTGTCAACGTGTTCATCATATTTAGGTTTAAATTATGGTTATTTATAGTCCTGAAGTTGTGTGTGAGTTCTAGTTCTGTACTCTGTAGTGGTAGGAAGTTTGGAAGTATATAGCTAGAGTATTTTGGTCATGTTCGAGTATAGTCACTTACCATAATGAAAGTTGAAGTTGTCTATGGGTTGTGATGGAATGAAATAAAAGTAACTAGGTATAAATAGTATATAAAAATACAAATTAAAAAATAGAACAAGACTTCATTGTATTTAGCCATAAGGACTCATTATGACTTTTGTGGAGTCTTGTTTTAGCTAGAATGAGCTATATACAATAGGGTATCTACATCATATAAACTCAAATTAACACTAAGCACTAGTCTTCACTTAGTAATTGCACTCTGGTCTAATGCTAGTGAAATGGGATTGACTATGTATTTGAGTTCGAATGAGCTATGGTACCAACTGAGAATTTCAAGCTAAACATATCAAAATACCAATAAACACATAGCACCCGTCTCTAATCAGTAATTGGCACTATGGGTCTAATATAGTGAATTGGTATTGATATGTATTGAGCTGAAAGAGTTATCGGACAACAGGTTTAGTCTAATTAATATAAAAATACAAATTAAAACTGCACCAGTCTCTCATAGTAATTGCACTATGGTTAATATAGTTGAATTTGGGTTATTCGACTATGTTATTGAGTTGAAAGAGTATAGTCCAACTAGGTTTTAGTCTATCATATAAAAATTACAATTCAAATAGCACAGTCTCTCCTAGTAATTGAACTTGGTCTAGTATAGTGAATTTGGTAGAGGATATGTATTGAGCCTAGAATGGTAGAGTAAAACTGTGTTAATCCTTATATAATAAAGGGCAAGACTCTCAATTGTAATTGCACTAAAGGTCTTATATAAGTTGTTTACAAGAATTAGCGTCTAATTAGATTTAAATAGGACCAGGATAAAATTACCAATTAAGGTAGCAAAAGAATTATAAAAAAATGATTAAAAATAAAAATGGCAATGGACATGGTTATATATGTAGTAAGATGGTAGACAGGATAATAAAAATTGTAGTTGAAAATACTAGTTTAAAAAAGTATGAATAAACAGGGTCAATAACTAAAGAAGTTTACAATAGCATGATCAATATAGTTTAAGTAAAATTGGGCAATAATAGGGATTTAGAATAAAATATTGGGCAGTGGATATTTTTTAAAGTGAGGTAGAATCTTGAAGACAAGTTATGCGGTAGTTTATAATCACTAAGATAGAACAGTGATGTGGTAAGTTGTAAAAAAAGGAGATAGATTCCTGTAGATATTAAAACACACTTAAGATATGAGGTAGAATGGTTCGTTGCATACAAAATGACAATCAAAAGTAGTTGGGGGTTATTAGCATTTTAGGGCGGCACAAATTTTTGACAATAAAAACACTAAAGGTGGATTATGGGTTTATCTGGTCACTTTACTCTGATTCTGGTTTGTCCAGCCTCATTAGAATGTTTTTAGGTCATGTTCTGTTATAGATGACGTATCTCTTCCCAGTGGGCTGTTTCCTAACTGCGATTTTTTCCATCCCTACAAAGCACTGGTGGATTTTTTGGGTTATCGCGTAATTTTCTTAGCCGATAAAGAAGCGTTTTGGGTTCTTGTTTTGGGTAGGCATCATTGGAGTACAACAACAGTTTTCATGAACTAGATGTTTTTAGTAGGTTGTTTCTTTGTAGGCACTAGTTTTTTTTTTACCTGGCTTGGTTAGCCATCAGTGTGCAAATCCCTTTAGGTCTTCACTAGGATGTTTAAGCGTAGAGTGGTCTTGATAAGCTGTAGGGTGGTCTCCATGAGGTCTCTTGGGTGTCTGTGGTGGGCGATTTTTGCCTGGTAATACAACGCGTCAGATAGCGATGATGGTCTTTATGGGTCTTAGAAGTTGGTTATGACATTGGCAAGCTTGTTGGTCACTCTGATCTTTCCTCTGTTAAGTTGGTCGTAAGTAGGGTGACTGGGTCTTTTAGAGTAGTTGATGGTGTTAGGGACTGGGTGTGGGTGTTGCTTTGTTGGTTCTAGACTCTAAGGAGTCAGTTTATGTTTAGAGCAGTGATCTTCTTGAGTAAAAAAAAAAATCTGCATTGTTCGCCTTAGTTCCTTGCATTTCTTGAGTTAGTTTGGTGAATCGCTTTGGTTCTGAATCATAAGGGTTTAGCTATTTCTGGGCGGTGATCTTCGTGACATAAATACTGGGAAGGAGTTATCTTGGACAGTAGCGGGGCCAGTTTGTAGTTGTCTGTGATGTGTGTGGCGGTGGTGCCGTTGGGTTGGATGAGGGTTGTGTCGGGCTGGCAGTACCACAAGTTTTCCTCGTGTTATTACTGTCTCACCTTTGATGTTAGATCCCTTAGCTGGTTACAGGATTTTTTATTGTTCTGACCTGGCATTGGTTGTGGCTCTTGTGTGAATAGTAGGCGATGGTGAATGTTGTAGCGTATCACGTCAGTGGCAGCGGGGTAGGAGGTGAGTAGTAGGTCTATTAGTGGTAATTTGGAGACTTTTGGGTAGATTTCGCAGGTTCGCTTTTTATCATTCTGGTGGTATCACAAGTAGTGTTATGTGGGTCTTGATTAGGTATCACTGGGATGCATGGAACATAAGTTAGAAGTAAAAATAGAGGACAGTTCCATTGTGTTCCTTCATTCTTGCTCCATGAATGCTACCAAACACCAGTCGAATAGCATCAGGGTACTACTTATGCTAAGTAAACAGAGACGGGCAGGTGTAAACGGAACACACGCCCCAACGTTTTCAACTCATGACGGGGATCGTTAACTATGATCTCATCATTGTGGGTGAGTACGGTATTAAGAACCACGGCAAACCTATTCCTCGTTTTGAAAGGCATATTGCCTCTATCAGTTCCTCGTGTACCAATAAGGTAAGATATATAACGTTTCTGAGAGGTAGAAAGCATAATCTCGGTGTTATGAGGTATGTTTAAAACCGTTCTAACAAGAAACGTTTTCTTATAATAAAAAATATTTGGTTCATAGAAAATAAACGTTAAGTGCTAAACTATGTAAACTTATGAAGGAAATTTTAATTGAACCCCGTATCTCTACGCACGTAAAATTTGTTGAGATTTTTAACCTGGTGGGTTAGCACCCAGGATAACCACACGAAACGGGTCCCACCTACACCAGTCAAATTCAAATTAAAAGTTTTCTCTATAAGGTTTTACATGTTGAATTTACAAAATTTTGGGTTATTTGTCGCAACATGGGTCCCTTTTTTCTAGGTAAAGGGACTAAGTAAGTTTATTCAGGTGTACAAATACAGTTACATAGTTTCATACATAGCAGCTATGGTACAAAACCCTAGGAAAACCCCCCCAAAAAAAGCAAGAGTGATTTATTTCCATTGGGCCCCAGCAGGTTAAGGAAACTATAAATGTTTAGGGACACTGAAGGGGTTTTCCCCGGGGGTGAACGCTTGGCCCCCCGGCCCATGACAAAGGCCCCTCAGGTGGAAAGGCCCGATAAACCGGCTGTTCTGTGGCCGCACACAAACGACTTCGCCCACAGCCGCTGGTCAGGTACTGACTTTAGGTCCCTCCCAAGTGCCTTAAAAGAAAACCCGGGGGTTATTGGTAATTCCCCCTTATGTATGGGGGGAGTTGAACAATCTTGGGCCCGCCATTTTTACTGGTTGTCTTTTTGGTTTTCCGAGCCCCGTTTTCACTGGGGTAGTTTTGTCTCCTCAGAGTCTTTTGCTTTCGTGTGAGTGTTTTGTGTGCAGATTTAGGACTAGTCCCTCTAGGTTTCCCAAAGTGTATGGGGATCGAACCCGTTCGTGTGGGTGGGCGATTCAACAAACCCAAAATTATTCAATGCTTTCTGGGAACAAAATAAGGTAGCAACTACTTAAGAACTAGACAAGCCTATAAAAAGCTTCTTGCTAGGAACCCAATAAAATGTATATAATGGCAGCAAGACAAAAGTATTTTCGAAGGGAATTCCTTTATTTACAGTTTCAAAAAATCAATATCAGTTCGTGGAAAGAGGGAATACAGTGGTGAAAGGAGGCTGGAAAAAAAGAGGGCAGAATTGATGAAAAAAGGGTTTTTTGAAATATATTGATTTTTTTTTACTTATGGGATGAGGTGCTTTTTAACATCGACGAAATGACTGGATACAGGACCTTTTGAGTTTCGGCAGGGAGTTCCAGAATTAGCCCCTTTTGGGGCCTTTTATGTGCATTTAGTTTAAAGGTTGGGGGGATGAGGGATATCATATGGTGTTTTTTTCTTGTGTTGCGTGTTCTTTTTAACTATCAAGGAAAAATTTCAGGAAGAGTTATATAAGAAACTATTTTTCTTTTTTACTCCTCTCCAGTTGTATGATGATGTTGTTTGTATGTTGTATGTAGTGTATGTATGTAGTATGTATTTTAGTATGTATGTACTCCCTTTTTTTACTCCCCATTTGTGGGTTTCAGGGGGCGAGTCTTAGTCCCGGCCCCGCCTCTTCACCGGTTTACTGGGGCCCCCCCCTCTCCCCGTCCCGATTTAACAAAATTGTTTTAAAAACTGGTATGGTTCCTGCCTTCCAACGCATTTTTAGGCTATTCCCCTGCCTTACAACTTTGATGAAGAAAACTTTAATACTCTCTGACTATTTGTGTCTTCAACTTCCCAAATTTTGGCCTCTTGTTTCTGTGCCCCCCTGGGAAAATCCCGTTTTGTCCCCTTGTCTATTCCCGCGTATTTTATATGTCGTTTCTGTCTCCCCGGCCCCCCTGTCCCCAGTGTTTCAGGCCATTTCCCCAAAACTTTCTTCACAGGACATTCCCCCCTTTGTTGGAAAAAAACCTTGTCGCAAACCTTTGTATTTCTCTGTTTCTTGACGTGCTTTTCAAATGCGGGTTCCAAACAGGGTGTACCCCGATGGGCTGAAACACGGTGTACTGCTTTTGATTCATTATAAGGTTCGGATGCTGTTTAAGGTTTTCAGGGCGCCCCAAAGCTAGCAGTTTCTGATTTATGGTGCTTCGGAGACATTCGGGTTATACTACCAAGATTTTCTCCCTTGAGTGAGGTTTGCAGTCTTTGGCCACCTAGCCTATACTCTGTCTGTGGTCTTCTGTGCCCTTCCCCTATCTTCATGACTTTGCATTTGGCAGGATTAAATTCGAGAAGCCATTTGCTGGACCAGGTGTCCAGTCTGTCCAGGTCTCTTTGAAGTCCTGCCTGGTCCTCATCAGATTTATTTCTCCTCATTAACTTCACATCATCTGCAAACAGGGACACTTCTGAGTCTAACCCTTCCATCATGTCGTTCACATATACCAAAAATAGCACTGGTCCTAGGACCGACCCCTGTGAGACCCCGCTCGTCACAGGTGCCCACTGTGATACATCATTACGTACCATGACTCGTTGTTGCCTCCCTGTCAGGTATTCTTTTATCCATTGCAGTGCCCTTCCTGTTATATGCGCCTGATGCTCTAACTTCTGCACTAATCTCTTGTGAGGAACTGTGTCAAAGGCCTTCTTGCAGTCCAAAAAGATGCAATCAACCCACCCCTCTCTCTCGTGTCTTACTTCTGTTATTTTATCATAAAACTCCGGAAGGTTTGTGACACAGGATTTGCCTTCCGTGAATCCGTGCTGGTTGACATTTATACTCTTGTTCCGTTCCAGGTGCTCCACCACTCTCCTCCTGATAATCTTCTCCATAATTTTGCATACTATACACGTCAATGACACAGGTCTATAGTTTAGTGCCTCTTTTCTGTCTCCTTTTTTAAAAATGGGAACTACATTTGCTGTCTTCCATACCTCAGGTAGTTGCCCAGTTATGTATGTATGTATGTATGTATGTATGTATGTATATGTATGTATGTATATGTATCTATATATATATATATATATATAATATATATATTTATAATATATATATATAATTTATATATATATATATATATATATATATATATATATATTTATATATTATATATATATATATATATATATATATATATATATATATATATATATATATATATATATATATATTATATATATATATATATATACCATCATTTAAGAAAAGTCTGTAAGCCAGAACCCTTCGAACATTTTACCGCCTCAAGGGACTACACAACATACTCGTTTCGTGATTTCATTGCTATATTGACTGCTTGATACTCCTCAGGTCGCTTGTTCTCTCTAGGCTGGAATATTGCTGCACATTAACAGCACCTTTCAAGGCAGGTGAAATTGCAAACCAAGAAAATGTACAGAGAACCTTCACGACATGCATAACGGACATAAAACACCTCAATTACTGGGAGCGCTTGAAGTTCCTCGACCTGCACTCCCTGGAATGCAGGCGGGAGAGATACATGATTATATACACCTGGAAAATCCTAGAGGGACTAGTACCAAACTTCCACGCGAAAGGAAAAGACTCGGCAGACGATGCAACATCTTCCCAATGAAAAGCAGGGGTGTCACTAGCACGTTAAGAGACAACACAATAAGTGTCAGGGGCCCAAGACTCGTTCAATTGCCTCCCAGCATACATAAGGGGGATTACCAACAGACCCCTGGCAGTCTTCAAGCAGGCACTGGACAAGCACCTAAAGTCAGTACCTGACCAGCCGGGCTGTGGTTCGTACGTTGGATTGCGTGCAGCCAGCAGTAACAGCCTGGCTGATAAGGCCCTGATCCACCATGAGGCCTGGTCACAGACCGAGCCGCAGGGGCGCTGACCCCCCGGAACTCTCTCCAGGTAAACTCCAGGTATTCAAACAGGAGGAGGCTGAAATTAATCCTTGAGATACCACTGCCACGAGTGTCCTCGGATCACAAGAAAAACGTGTAGCTCTGCTGCATTCGTGATCATTGAAGGATCGGTGGCTCAGAGGTAAAGGTGACGCGTATGTTGTGTCTCCTCTTGAGGTGGTACAACGTTCGTAGGACTCCACAATAGCAAAGAACTACAGACCGATAGTGCTAACATCCCATATCATAAAAAAGTTTGAAAGGGTTCTCAGAAGCAAGACTGCCACTTATTTAGATACCCATCAGTTACACAACCCAGGACAACATGGTTTAGAGCAGGTCACTCCTTCCTGTCCCAACTACTGGACCACTGTAACAAGGTCCTGGATGCCCTAGAAGACAAACAAAATGCAGATGTAGTATACACAGACTTTGCAAAAGCCTTTGACAAGTGTGACCATGGTGTAATAGCACACAAACTGCGTGATAACGGAATAACAGGAAAAGTTGGCTGATGGAAGTGTAATTTCCTAACAAATAGAACACAATGAGTAGTAGCAAACAAAGTCAAGTCTGAGGCGGCTACTGTGAAAAGCTCTGTTCCAAATGGCACAGTACTCGCTCCCATTCTGTTCCTCATCCTCATATCTGACATAGACAGGGATGTAAGCCACAGCACCGTGTCTTCCTTTGCAGATGACACCCGAATTTGCATGAGTGTCCTCCATTGAAGACACTGCAAGACATCAACCAAATCTTTAAGTGAGCTGCAGAAAACACTGTGAAGTTCAATTTTGAGAAATTTCAATTACTCCGATATAGAAAACATGAGGAAATTAAAACTATATCAGAGTATAAAACAAATTCCATTCACACAATAGAGCGAAACATTAATGCAAAAGACGTAGGAGTGATAGTGTCAGAGGATCTCACTTTCAAAGACCACAACATTGTATCAATCACATCTGCTAGAAAAATGACAGGATGGATAATGAGAACCTTCAAAACTAGGGACGCCAAGCCCATGATGATACTCTTCAGGTCGCTTGTTCTATCTAGGTTGGAATATTGCTGCACACTAACAGCACCTTTCAAGGCAGGTGAAATTGTTGACCTAGAAAATGTACAGTCACAACAAGAACCTTCACGAC